CCAGCCCCGTGGAAACCTGCGCCCCGGAGGCGGGGGCCAGCCCTGCTGCCCGCCCCGCGCCTGTCTCATTCATCTGGGGCGTGATTGCACTGACTTGGGTGCACCTGGGGTGGCATCTCAGGTTATAGATTTGGCTACAATGGCAATCAGTAACAAAGACCCCATGACCACTCTCCTACAATGTGACTTTTCATTGGGGGGCAAAATAATGTCACCCGTTTGTCTGTAGACCCACACTCTCCGGATCGCTCACCCTCCGACAAGCTCACGGGAGCACACAGAGGTCGGTGCATTTGCACTCCCAGTCGCAAATCAAGAAGTAATTATAGAAGAAGCCTTCTAGCGCCTCACACCGTCACACCTCCGACAGGAGCCGTGAAACGGCAAGAAACAGTTGCCCCAGCTGTGTCTGCAAACCGACTGCACCGGAAGCAGAGACCAGAGGGTCCGCACTTGTCCCTGGACACGAGGCATGGCCAGGTTAGTAAAGTGACGATGCCCCAGGCTCCAGCCCCCTGCATCCTCATCAGGGAAAGAAAGACATCTTCAACAGTAGACTAGGTTCCCCATCTGAATATCCTGTAGCCGGAACTGACTGCGAAATGTCACCAGACATCCGACCTCCACCCCCACCTTTCTAACCTTGTGGACCCCCCAAAGGTTCCAGAAGCTTTTATCCTGGGGATACACATGGTAACTTTGTATCTTCAGCCATATTACAGGTTGATATATAAAAGTATAAACCAGTTCTCTTATCTACACACGTCAGACATCTAGTTTGAGTCCCTCTTCCACCCTCAAGTTGATTGACCAGGTAATTGATGGAATTTAGGATGCTGACCCAACTCAGACTGAGGTGAACTCTCTTGCCTATCTTGGTTTGGGTTCTCAGGCATTCAAGGCGGAGGAAAGGTCACCTCAAACGGCCTTGATAGCAAGTTTTCTAGGATGGACAACACGATTGGCAAGACGTGTCGCCTTAGCAACCAACATAATAAAAGGTTGACTTCCGTGGAGATCACAAGAATGAAATAAACTCAGCCATTTGAGTAAGGAAGGAGGGAACGCATTTAGAATAGGTACCATGTCTTTCTACATGGTTTAACTCAAATTTTAATTTTGATGTGCTGTAAAATCACATGTAGCAAGACTGTAATTACAGGTAACCATGTACTTTTTAACCCCCGCCCCCCAAAAGCCATGTTTACATGGTGAAATAATTATGAAGTCTGAAGTTTTTGTTTAAAGCTTTTTATACACACACTCACATACAGTCATGACAGAAGTTGCCAAGGAGAATTTTGCTTTGACTCTAAAATGCTTCTGGGGCTTGATTTTTATTACCATGAGCCTGTACCAAGCCTATGATTTTTCTGTCTGAAACACAAAGGCTGAATTTGGTATTCTTATTTTAGGTCTAGATGATCTGTCTGTGCTTAAAAGCGCACAGAAAAAGAAACAAGAGAAAGATGGAGAGGAGAAAGGGGAGCTGTTCAAATTCCAAACATCTGGCAAAGAGCCCAGCTCCAGCTCACCCTACCTTCAGATGATGATACTGAAAGTAACCCCATCTCGGAAGTTCATGGAATTAACAAAGAGGAAGGGGAAGGGGCAGGGACATTGATGTCTATTGAAAGCTTTATTTATTCCAGGCTGTGGGCTGGGGATCTAGCGTACCACAATCTCATTAACCTTCGTGACAATCCTATCACCATCACTTCAGCTGCATTATCTACTGCAGCTTCGTAAACCACCCTGAGCCTCAGTGGCTCCCAGTTCTGTGGGTGGACCGTGCTCAGCTGGGCAGTTCTCGCCTGGGGCCTCTCATGTGGTCGCTGTCAGATGGCAGCTGGGGTTGGAGTCATCCGAATGCTCACCTGGGCTGGACACCACGACGGCTTCTTCACGCACACGACTGCATTTCAGCTGGAACGCCAGGACAGCTGGGACTCGCCAGCCTCTCCCTCTATCCGGCCTCTCCAATGGCAACTCAGGCGCCTTCTTAGCATGGTGGGCGACTTCCTGTAGAGTGAGAATTCTAAGACAGGAACCAGAGGCTGCCAGTCTGGTGAGGCTCCTGCATGGAAGCTGGTGCAGCATCCCTTCCGCTGTGTGATGTTGGTCAGACTGTCACAGATCCCCCCCCCCCCCTCAAAGTGAAAGGGCATGTGGCAGGGACATAGCTCACACCTTCAGATAGGAACCTGTCAAAGAATTTGTGGCCATTTTATAAATGAGGAAACAAAGTCTCAGGTTAAAAATTCCTCCAAGGTCAAAGATCCTATAAGGCACAGAGCCAACATCTGAAAAGGACAAATAGCAGAGCATAGGGAGAATGTTCAAAGTGGTTTGAACTGCTCTCCCTCTCCCTCTCCCTCTCGCTCTCTCCCCACTTTGTATCTTTTAAGCTAAAAGAAATGGTGGTGAGGGTGCTAAAATGTGAGAAACTTGGAAAGGAAAGAAATATCTTGCCAACTTCTGATTTTGCCTCAGCACCCGGAGTTTCTATCACCTCCTTTGATCTGTACAGCTGATCTTAGATCTGAGAGCTTCCAGAGATAATCCAGTTTCTGAAATTCCTTAGAAAACTCGAATATAAATTCAATAACTATTTATGGGATGTCTGAGCCATGGGTGTACCAGGCACTATGCTGGGTCCCGAGGCTACACTGGCAAACAAGACAGACTTTGCCATCACTGCAGTGAACATTTAGCATGGGAGACAGAGAAATGAATGAGCAATTTCAATGCCCTGAGAGGAAATGCTTTGATAGGGGAAATTCAGGAGCTATAGGATTACAAGCTAGGACTAAAAGCCCGGACTATGGGAGTCAAGGAAGAGTGTGTAGAAGTTCAAGTAGTTGAAAAGTTCATGTTTTGTGTGTTTGTGCGAGTATGAAGCAGGGGCCTTGGAGAGGGAGAGGTGGGTTGGTTTGCAGAGGATCTAGCATTTGCCAGTAGACAGTAGGTACTCAGTGTTTGTGGACTATAAATGAAAGCAAAGGCCTTGCCTTGAGAGAATTCAAGGAACAGGATAGCTCCTAATGAGTGGACAGAAGGAAGAGTGCCGGTGATTGCAGGGAGGGACACACGTGTCCACGAAATCATCCCCAGAAGTTGTGTAGCCCTCCCTTCGGGGACCATGCCCCATGGCACCAAATGAGCTTCCCCTCTGCCTGCGTCGCCAAGATTTCTCCCAGATCAGCCCCCTCTGAGCATCCAGGCCTGGGTCAACAACTAGACTTTTTGTTTTTCTTGACCTTTGTCAACCCTGCCTGTTTAGGTCTAGTAAACAGACACCCTTTCAGCTCCTTTAAACAGAAAATTACTCTAACACGGGGAATTACCTGCCTTCAGTGTTGTCAGAAGGGCTAGAGTGATGGGCTCTGGGCTGGGTCTGCAGAAACGATTCCCAGAGCTGCAGAGCTGGCCTGCCCAGGGAGCTCTCCCATTATCCAGAAGAGGGGGATCAGAAGGTCGCACTGCCGCCACTGCTGCTGTCTTTCTGGGCCCACAAAGGTAGAGGCTGGACATGCAGAAGGGGCCAGTGTCTCCACAGGGAAGCCTGGCGGCAGAAAGCACCCAGCCACAGAGAGATGGCCTCCTCCCTGCTTCTGCCTGGCAACTCTTACTTGAGTACACTAGCTAATGAAGCTATTTTGTACTCATTATCCTCGCTGCAAAGGAGTCTGGGAAATGTGTTTAGCTTTCTAGTCTCAGCCATACGTGAAGACACACTAGACATGGAAAGGAAGCAGAGTGTGAGCCCACTGTTCCCTCCGCACTTCTCTCGCGTCCCAAAGAACATAGAGTCCCAGAGAAGGAGAGAGAGCGCCCCTCAGACACTTAATTTGCAATTGTAAGAGTATAATGTTCTTTTTCAATTGATTGCTTTGAGAATACCGTTCAAGACCGCTATTTCCGTTGCTTTTATGTAATACATATCAGCACCGTCCCTGTTTTCCTATAGTCTGACACATGGAGCACCTGTCGATTTTACTGGCTCAGAATCCTCTTCCGTGCTTTAGGAAGAGCGCCCCAGTTTTCCTTTGGAAACCTCCCCTGCCCCATTCTCAGTTTTTCCAAGTGGAGGTGGGTGGTATCAATTCCTAATTTCAGGGGTGGGTACCAGTCAGCCACAGGTGTTCCTAATGTCAGGGCCGGCCCAGTGACATTCGACGGTCAGAGGGAAGTTTTGCTGGGAAAAGGGATGGTAACACACTGGTGTCAGTCAGCCAGTAGAAAGCGAGCCTGGGTTTCCAGGTGGCCATGTTGGCCACCTCTTGGGGAAGTCCGCCTCCTAGTGTAGCCAACCCAGAAGCAAGCAAGCCTGAGAGGCAGAGACAGCCCGGGCCTGGTGTCATCTTTTCGGGCCTTGCATTCAGCTGTGCCTGACAATCCAGACTTACTCCTTGAAATACCGGTTACAGGAGCCAGCGCAGCCACTTTTAGATGAAGCTGGTTGCCCTGGATCTCTGTCACTTGTACTGAACAAGCCCTGACACATCCTGTTGTGTGGCGTTGTGGTCTCTGCACGAGCCACCCTGAGACTGTCCCCTGGTATCAGCCTCCTTCCAAGCCCAGCCCCTCCTCCTTCACTGGAAATCATGGCTGTCCCTTCCTGTTTATTCCACCTTTGCCCCTATCAGTGCTTTCTAGCAATCTATAGAAACAAACACACAATTGAAAAAAATATTAGTACATCCAGGCCATGGAAAATTAATCAGCATTAAAAAGAAATGAACTGCCCTGGCCAGGTCAGCTCAGTGGTTGGAGCATCCGCCCTCGGACTGAAGGATCTCGAGTTCAATTCCCAGTCAAGGGCACGTACCTGGGTTGTAGGTTCCCCAGCCCTGGTAGGGGCATGTGCATGAGGCAACCAATCGATGTGTCTCTCTCATGTCGATATTTCTCTCTTCTCCCCCGCCCCCTCCCCGTCCTCCCTCTCTTCCACTCTCTCTAGAAATCAATGGAAAAAAATATCCTGAGGTGAGGATTTAAAAAGAAAAATTAAAAGAAATTAACTACTAGCCACAAAGACACATGGAGGAAGCTTAAATGCATATGACTAAGTGTAAGAAGCCAATCTGAAAAGGCTACAGACGGTATGATTCCAACTATATGACATTCTGGAAAGGGCAAAACTAAGAAGAGAGTAAGATTGGCGTTTGCCGGAGGGCTGGGGGGAGGGGGGGAGTGGGTGAACAGATGAAGCACAGAGGAATTTTAGGGTAGTAACACTACTCTGTACGATACTATAATGCTGGGTACGTGTCATACATTTGTCCAAACCCTTAGAATCGGCAACACCAAGAGTAAACCCTAACGTAAACTATGGAATTTGGGGGACAGTGATGTGTCACGGTAGGTCCATCAGTTGAAACAAATGTACTGCTCCAGTGGGGGATGTGGATAGTGGGGGAAGCTGGGCCTATGTGGGGCAGGGGCTGTAGGAGAAATCTGTACCTTCTGCTAAATTTCGTTTGAATCTAAAACTGCTCTTAAAAAGTCTTTTTTTTTTTAAGTAGGGATGTTATATGGGGTGTGTCTGCTAAGAAATTGTCCAGCTTAGTCTAGAATCTTCCAGTAATGGGAACTCCCGACCATCCACAGCAGCACACATGCTGAGCTGGTATCTTTTCTCCTGCAGCCTCTTTCCAGAAGGACAGACGTTGGTGTGGTCGGCAGCTTCCCAACACCTGGTCCATTGCTCCTTTGCCTTTCGTGGTAGTTTGGAGAGGACTGACGGACTGGTAAGGAAAGGGTGGCTGCCTGTGATGTGGATTGTAAAGGAGCAGGAAACAGGAAGTGTGCCTCCTTCATCTGTTTGTAATCATCTTTTTCAATTTTAAAAAAATTAAAAAGAACCGTGATTTGGACACAGCTGTTGAAATAGAGGGGAAGGAACTCCTTCGGCGCTGCTCATTTTCTAAGAGATCTCTGAGCATGGGAATGGGGACAGATGTAACTTAGCATAAGAGAGGGTTTCATCCAGTGGCTCTATGCAGTGTGTGTTCGATGTCTTACAGGCTGTGCACTCCACTACGGAGAGCTGTGCCTGGTGCACAGGGTGCTCAATGATTCTTTTTTTGTCAACCTTCCGCTAAGGCAGCGGTTCTCAACCTGTGGGTCGCGACCCCTTTGGGGGGTCGAACGACCCTTTCACAGGGGTCGCCTAAGACCTTCGGAAAACATATAT